CTGAACACCTTATGAGACGGCGGGACCGACACGTCGGACGAGCGAAAAACGAATGGCGGATCGGACGAATGGACCGACAGACGAACGAATAATAAACAAACGGATTGACGGATAGAATAAGAAATGAATGAACGGATGGGCGGACGGATGAATGAAGACAGGGATGCACGGACAGCTGAATGGACGGGAGAAAGAGATAGAGAGAGATAGAAAGAGATAGAAAGAGAACGAAGTAGTGAGAGATAATGAGAGATATAGAGCGAGATAGAGAGGGAGGTAAAGAGAAAGATAGAGACAGAGATTGATAGAGACAAAGATAGATAAAGACAGAGAGAGAGAGATAGGGAGAGAGAAAGAGAGTGACACAGAGAAAAGATAGAATGTGAGTGAACAGATCGTGATAAAGTGGGATCAAAGGAGAGAAATAATGAGAAACACTCATAAAGACTGAGAAATTACAAAAGACAGAGCGAGAGAGAGAAAGAAATTGATAGATGAAAAGAGAGAAAGAGAGAGGAGGAGCAATATACGCTAAAAATATAACTCAATGTCTTGACTTTATATGTGTACACAAATACAGTAGAATCCGATTATAGCGACTCTGCTTAAAGCGTCCGTACGGTCATTGCGTCTTCCTGCTATAACGACGGTATCTTGAGCATCATTATAGCCGGATGCTACTGTATATAAATAATAAGGATTTTCAGGATCTCATTATCTAAGTTTGTTCAGCTTTTGTATTGTAACTATACATATATATGAATGTATGTATGTATATATATATTTGTAACTATATTTAAAGTAAAGCATTTAATATTTAGCCATTTCGTAATTATCATGGGAGAACGTTGAACGTTTTTAATGTATTCCGTATTCTGTAAAACGAAGCTGTCAATATTTGCATAGCCATTGAACTGGGCTAAGCCCACGCGCACTTCACTTCGTACTACAAATTCTATTTAGGAGCAAAGCTGGTGAAGCCTAATGCTAAACACTATGAGCACATGAGATGGGTGTGTGTGTGTGTCAGTGTGTGAGTGTGTGCCTGCCAGACCATTAAGTTTTTAATTTCTAAGCGGACTGCGACGAGGCGTCAACGAGTCGAGATGTGTGGGGCGTGTCTGGGACTGTGACGCTATCAAGCCGAAAGATCTTAACAGATATACCCATATATAATATAATATGTATT